GATAAAATATAGGCCGGCAACACAGGTGGAGGAAATAGGAAGGATTCCCCTGGTTTGATGGTGATGATAAACTGCTGAAGCTACTGAACAGGACTACCTGTGTACCAAGCAGAAGCTGCATGCCATGGACACAGCTAAGCGATCCCATATCAATCACAACTAAGCACTGCATTCCTGCCACTGTTCCAGTCATGAATGATATTCTGAAATTAATAAATGAACAGGAGGACCATGCTCCGTTAATTTTACTGTCTCCAATGCTGGTGAAGCCCAGCACATTGCAGCAAAAATCAAGCACTTTCAGTTAGAAGTGCCAAGTGAATGGTTTCTCTCAGTCTCCTAATATAAACAATGATGTAAAGAAATGGTTGGAGGCAAAGGAACTGTAAGGGCTATGGACCCTGACATTCTGGCAATAGTACTGAAGACTTGTGCTCCAGAACTTGCCGTTCCCCTAGCCAAGCTGTTCCAGTACAGGTACAACACTGGTATCTACCTAATGATATGGAAAATTGTACAGGAATGTCCAATACATGAAAAGCAGGACAAAGCCAGCTCTGCCAATTCTCACTGCATCAGTCTATTCTCAATCATTAGGGAAGGGGCAGTGCCATCCAAGAGGATTTCTCAGCAATAACCTGATCAGAGATGTTCAGTTTGGGCATCGCCAGGACCACTCAGCTCCTGACTTCAATACAGCCTTGGTCCAAACATGGACAAAAGAGCAGAAGTCAAGAGGGGATGGAAAGATGACTGCCCTTGACATCAAGGTAGTATTTGACCAAGTGTGTCATTAATGAGTCCAAGTAAAACTGAAGTCAATGGGAATCAGGGGGAATCTCCTGGTTGGATTCATACCTGGTACATTGAAGGATGGTTGTGGTTGTTGCAGGTCACCTCCAGAACAATTCTACAGCGGTTACTCAGGGGAGTGTTCAAGACCCAGCCATCTTTGTCTGCTTCTACCCTCCAGCATAAGTTCAGAAATGGGGACGTTCACTAATGATTGCACAATGCTCAGTCCCATTCCCAATTCCTCAGATACTGAAGCAGCCTGTGTCCATATGCAGTAAAATGTGGACAACATCCAGGTTTGGCGTGATAAATGCATCACAGTATTTCGGCCACACAACTGCCAGGCAATGGCCATCTCCAACTAAAGAGAATCCAATTATTGCCCCTTGATATTCAATGTCAAAGGTAATTCACAATCCCCCTTATCAACACCCCAGGGGATACAATTGATCATAATCTGAATTGAAGCATTCAGATAAATAACCTGGCTATAAAAACACATCAGAAGTTGGGAATTTGTGGTGAGTAACTTGCCTCCTCATTCCTCAAAGCCTTTCCGACATCTACAAGGTAGAAATCCAGGGTGGAATATGCCCCATATGCCTGGATGGGAGCAGCTCCAACAGCACTCAAAACATTTGACACCATCTAGGTAAAGCTGTCCACGTGTTTTGCATCCCAACTAATGCCTTCACCATTCACTCCCTCAACCATTAATACACAGTGGCAGCAGTGTGTACCATGTATGATATCATCCTGCATTAACTCACTAAGGCTCCCTCAACAGCAACTCCCAAGCCAGCAAACTCTGTCAATTGGAAGGAGAGGGCTGCAGGTACATGGGAACACCACGTCTCCTGCAAGATCCTCTCTCAGCAATACACCATCCTGAAATGCAGCTATATCATCGTCCCTTCACTGTCACTGGATCAAAATCCTGGAACTCCACTGCTAGAGGTAAAAAGTAACATTGATAAAGTCCCTGAAGGCTACTCTTTCAGTGGAGAGAGAGATGGCTGGTGGTGGCTCAGCGTGAGGGGAGAATCCTTCGTGGGGACCTCAGTTGGAGTGGGTACTGAACAGGCACTGTTGGCATCAGCTTGCATTGCAAACCAGCTTTCTAGCCAATTCAGCTAACTAACCCCATAGGGCCAACCATATATATTGAGAAACCCAATGGAAATGAAACATCACCCAAAGAGAGAAAATACAGGTTAGCATCACTGACAGAAAAACTAAAAATAGAATTCTCTCAGCAAAAGAGATTTCCTTTTGACTTCCAAAACTTATAGCTGTCTTTTTTATCTATACAGATGGAAGGAGTGAGAATATCTGCAAAAAGCTGAAATCCAAAGGTCAGTGATCTCATAAACACAAAAATTAAAAAGAAGAAGTGACAATTATTGCACGAGAAGCCGGAGGATGAAAGTAAGAAATTGTGCATTCATGAAGCACCTGTCATAACCTCAGAATTTACCAAAGTGTGTGACAGACAATGAAATAATTTTTATGTGTAGTCATTGTTAAACACAGCAGCCAATGTTTGCACAGCAAGGAGCCATGATCAGAGAGTAGTTGAATGATTTGAACGTGTGTTTTAATGCTGTTGGATGGAGGATAATATTGAGAGCTGTCTCACAGACTAGTCAAGCCTTTCATAGTCATTCTCACAGAACCATACCCTACAGCCAATGTCACCAACATCATCATCACCGTCCCTAGATATGTCCCCTCGCACCAGCAGGCCAGGCCCAGCCAAGGTATGCAGGATAGGGTATAAATGTTTGCCCAGCCAGCGGTGGCAATGTGAATTTATGGATTCAAAACAAAAATCCCCTGATGTTTGTAATCTATCTAAATCATCAACAACTCAACAGCTGAACTTCCACAGTCCTCTGGCAAAGGAATTCCTCATCTCAGCCCTAAATAACCTAATCCATATTGTGCTGCCTGGCTCTCGGCTCTCGGCTACACCCCATCCCTCTCCACCCGCCTCACCCCCCTCTCTCCTTCATCAGATTTCCAGGCTGCTGTATAATAGTAAACTGTTTTTGAGAAATGGTTAGCACACTCTAGCTTGACATTTCATATCATGAGTAGTTGGACACAGCTCTTTAAACCATGGATCCATTTTTCAGTTAAAAACTCCGACTAGTTTAACCAGCGTTTAAACAGAGAAGTGTGACGCATTTTAGAAAAGACAGAGTGCTAATTACTTTTAAAAGACTCCGTCAATATTCTTTTATCATTTCATTTCAGAAACTCTAACAGCAAATGAATGTGTGGAACTTATCCAGAATTTAACTAAAAAATGCAAGCGACCGGGAAAGAACTTTAAGAAAAAGTAAGTTTGTGTCGTTGAGACAATATTTTCAGTGTAGCACCAGGACCAGGACCAGGATCAGGAAAAAGAC